GTGAACATCAGCGGTTTGAAAAGTGTCGGCCTGGGCACTCTGGGAGGAGGCGGGGGACCTGGTGCACCAGCTTCAGAGGGTGAAACGTTTGTTTCTTGGGTGACATTTCCTTTCTTTGAATCCGTCCTTTTGGCTTCCCGACGGAAACCGCACCTCTGTTGGTTGCAGGGGTTCGGCCTGGCGAAACAATTCAAGTTCAGTCAAAAAAAGACACTTTGGTAAATACAGAATAACATGAACACCTATATGATATAAAGCAGGATACCAGCACTGCAGGGAAAACTGTGAAGCTTATAATGCCCCTTTTCTCTTGAGGTGTTAATTAAACTCTATGGTAATATGTTTGTTGTTCAGTAACATTGTTTGTAGTGCTGCAACTAATGACACCAATTAACTGTTTAGTTTAAATGTCAAAATTATTGAAAAGGTAGAGTCATAATTGCCTAAAGCCTACGGTATTGTCTTCAAACTGCTCATTTTCTCTGACTTACACTCTAAAACCCAAATAAGTTTAGCTTACTATAGCATGAGACAAAAAAACCATCAAACTCTCACACCTGTGAAGCTGGAACCAATCAGTATTTGATGTTTGCAAGAAAAAGTGACTTACACGGTTAATCGATCAATTATCAAAATAGTTTCCAATTCATTTTCTGTCAATTGATTCACTGTTTCAGTATGTAATTGTTATATTGTGCTATATTGTACAGTGTCCAATGACCAACACACTTGTTTTTCCTGAGCATGTAAAATGTATAATTATAGCTATTCCAGGTGAGTATACAAGCTCAGGAAATGAGGTTTCATGACCCAGCTTCACATTGACTTCACCTCTTGGTTGAACTCTAAACTACAGATTTAATAGGGTAAACAACAGGCAGCATTCAAAATGGGGGACATTAATGATGCTGCTCGAACAGCTCCGTTCTTAAAACCATACAAACAGGAACGGTGCCTTTCTACTGTAAACTTAATGAAACACCGTGGTCTTCAGCCCTGTGGATCTCTTTACGATGACAGTTAGGTAACCACGCACTAACGGTCGGGAGGCAAACACACGCGCGCGTCCTGTCACTGTTATTGTTGTTGTTTACACGGACCCTGCAACGTCAACAGCTTCCTATTTGCTCACCTGGGGCTTCGTGAAGTTGTGTTAGTGGATCTGATGAACTGTGTTTGGGCCCATTTCATTACACATCCTCTCCACGCCATGTTTGTGATGACCTCCTGCCTGAAGCCCCTCCCACTGCCAGAATGCTGCATTCAAGGA